AAAAAAACACCTCCTTGTCTACTTTTGTAATCTATTTCCTATCCACCGGACTCACTGGGTGTGTATTTTAAAACACTGTTGAGGCGGCCTGTTTTCGGCCGCCAACTTTCTCCCATCGAGGACGTTCTGTGACACATCTGTAAAAAAAAAAACATTAAAAAAATGGAGTATTTAGAGGCAGACCTTTGACTTTGTCCAGCTCGTCTTAAGCCATTTCTGCCTTATGGGGCGTTGGAGCCCCCCGTATGATTTGCTTGTCGGCCGGTGCCCCGAAATCTGGTTGGAGGCTTGAAGCCAGGGATGGATATCCGACTCCGCCCACATCCGAGGCGGCCATTTTGATTAGGGCACCAATAGGAAGATCCCAGGAAAAGAAAATCCTAATTGCTTCATGGCAATGTAGACATTAATTTAAAAATAGTGAAATGAATCTGGCAAACACTGAATTAAACTCTATACATAATGTTATGTTAAAATAGTGGATGTTAAATAGGTTTGTACAATAAGTAACAACAAGTTTAACCAAAATTTTAACCAAAAAATAAATAATTTCTTACAATTATGAAGGGTGGAGGGCTAGCATTAGGGTCAGGTTTAGGGTTATGGTTAGGTCTAGGTTTATGGTTAGGTTTAGGGTTAGGTTTGGGGTTATGTCTAGGTTTAGAGTTAGGTTTAAGGTCAGGGTTAGGTTTAGGTTTGGGGTTAGGGTAAGGATTAGGGTTAGGTTTAGGGTTTGGGTCTGGGTGGAGGGTTGGGTTTAGGGTTATGGTCAGGGTTAGGGTCAGGCTTAGGGTTAGGATTAGGGTTAGGTTTGGGGTTAGGGTTAGGTCTAGGTTTAGGGTTAGGTTTAAGGCCAGGGTTAGGTTTAGGGTTAGGTTTAAGGCCAGGGTTAGGTTTAGGGTTAGGGTTAGGGTGGAGGGTTATGGTCAGGGTTAGGCTTTGGACATCGTTTTTCTTCCGATTTCGTATAGACAGTGATGTTTCGTTTCCACCTCAGAAAGCTGCTAGTGGCATGACCTAACCAAAATGGCCGACCTGGACGTGGGAGGAGTCGGACATCCATCCTGGGCTTCCTGCAGACTGCTCCCAGTACCAGGGCGGGTTTGAGGCCCCGGCCGGCCCCCCGTAGACGTAACCACGCGGCGCTCTGCATGACTCTGCTCGGCTTTGTTTGTGCTGCTTCTACGATCACTGAACTCTGTTTACACTCCCGCGGTCACCACTATTCGGGGGCGTGCACGTGGAATTTAAAGGGTGATGCACATAGGAATAAAGAAGTTGTAGTATCTGAACCGTTTGCACTTCGGGGGAAGCCTGAATATCCACTCTTTATGTTTGTTTGTGTCTATTATTTGTGTACACTGTAAAAAAAAATGTTAAGGGACAGTAAAATCCTCGTTTCTCCCCCTCAGCAGGTGACTCAGATTCTGCTCTTAGATTGAAAAGTGTTGTTCTTTTTCTCGTTTCGATAGATTCTTGGTGGCCAAATGTTTTGGCTCAAAAACCTAAATTTCTCCACATTCGAAGGTAAATATGAGAATGGGACGAAATGAAGAGGGGGAATGCGACACAGACTCTTGATCGTGCTTTTTACTGGATCTGTGCTTGTAAATAAACTGGGATTTTTTCTCATTTGTATGTTCATGAATGTGTGTGTGAGGCGACTGAATTTGTGAGTTTGAGTTTGACCCATCTGGTCAAAAATAAAGCTTGTACAACAACTATGAATGTTTAATCTAGTCCAATCATAGTTTTTGTTTAGAACTAACTAAGAAGCTGAACAATAAAGCTTATTTAAAGCATTTTAAAGACTGGCTTGGGCTGGACTTTAATGAGACAGCGTGAAAATGATGGAAAATGAGGGAAACAATAAAGAATAGTGAATGTTTAAAGTCCCACAGCGACTTCCTAAAACACAAATTGAGATAAACTGCTCAAACTAGCTCATAGAGATTGTTTTTTAGAGATCTATCCATACATGTATTAAGTTGCTCTGCCTTAAAGACATTTGTGTCTGTTTGTTTCTTATATTTTTTTGTCATGTGACAAAATTTTCATCAAGAGAAGGAGGCATAACTTAATAATATAGCGGATAAGTCACTGCAAGATGGACGCTTTAAGCACTGTTAGTACAACTTTAGCTTATTTACCTAAAATAAATGGATAAACAGTCAGATTAGCTGCCTAGCAGGGTTGCTAATGAAACAGGCTTCTGCTGAAGGCCTCTGGGTATAATAGCGGAATTGGTAAATTATAGAGTTAGGGTTAGCTCATTAATAAAAACCTTAATTTGTATAGTTTTCTAAACAATTCATACCAAAGGAAAAGTATTTGGGAGCAGAGGGTTGGAGGGAGGTGCTTCCCTGCTGATGACAGAGGGACTGTTTTAGCCAGATTTTTAATTTAGTTTGAACATTTTGAAAATGAATGAGGTTCATTTTGCGAGTTAACCCACCTGCAAACACAACTATGAAGACAATTAGTGCCAATTACTGTCATTTATATCAAAACCAACAAGGTTTTCATTAGCTATAGCTGTTATTTAGTCAAAATGTCTGACTTGACCCAAAAAAAAAAAAAAAAAAGATAATTAAGGTTAAATCTGCAGTGTTAAGATGACATAAATGCAGCTATAGTTAAACATTGGCCTCATAACTAGACCCAATCAGACCCTTTTTCCTTTGACCTTTTCAACCAGGGGTGAGTAAAACCCCTAGTTTAATCCCGTTAAATCCCACATGCTTTACAGTGTTGAGTGTGAACCCTGATTAGCAGGCCAAATTAATAATAGGTTTCCTCTAGAGCCGGGAGGAGGCCTCACACCCAGCGGAGGGAGGTTTGACTCTGCTGTCATCCTGATCTGATGCTGATAGACCATTATGACCAAACTCTGCCCTCAGCCCTGCAGCATCAGGTGTCAGATGGCAGTAATAACGCTAATGGGATGATACGGCTCAGAGTAAGGAGCAAAAAAAGACCCGATAACATAAATGTTTCAGCTCATTATTGTTTATCAGCACAATTTCTCATTTGTTTTGGATAAAGACAGAAGAGTCTGAATGGAAAAAAGTAGAAAACATTCACAGGTTTGCTTCATGTGTTCAGTATTCTTATATTCAAGTTAAACTATAGCAACAATGTCCGATTATTCTCTCTTCTGATCAATTGCCATCTGTTATATGTTCTTATTTCATGTGTTTAATCTATTAACCCTTTAAAGCCTGATCCAAGAATAAAACAAAACTGAAAATTACTATTTTTTGGTTTGAATTTCTTATTTGGCCTTTTAACAAAATATGTAAAAAGAAAAAACAGAAATACATTTTTTATATTAATCATTTATTACTAAGCGATAAGTCAAGATTATTTTTTGTGTAGTCTTCTGCCCTCTGTTATCAGATGTATCTGATTGTGTACAAGAGGATTTTGAGCAAAGTTTTTACCATTAAATTATGCAAAAGGTGTCAGACGCAAAACATTTCCGAAACGGTATGAATCAAATATGATAGATTTGGCATTACAGGGTTAAACGTGTTTCAATAAGTTGTAATAACACAGATTTAACATATTCCTCCTCTAAAACATGATGTTTAACCGGTGAATTTTTAGGATTTCTTTGAATGGGAGACGAGCTTTTGCCCAGATTTAGCCTCACAGCTGCTCAGACAAAGAGAAGCGACTCTGCGGATGTGTGTGTTTGTGTGTGTGTGTGTGTGTGTGTGTGTGTGTGTGTGTGGGGGGGGGTGGAGTGGGGGGGGGTGCAGGTAAAACCGAGACACCCCCGGCCCGTAAAGCGATCCCGGCTCCATGAATAATGGAGCACGCCGCGGCAGAGGGGGGATAAGTTCTCACCGCAAGGCTCCTTTTTCACAGGGCTTTCTCCCGCGGGTCACGTGACCTCATAGGTGACAGTAATTTTTCATGAGTGGCGTTTGTAGCGGCTCAACGTTTACGTGATATCCAGACTGGAGCCCACCAGGTAGCGGTCCCTCCATCCCCTTGTCCTCGGCCCAGGGCTCCCCGAAAACCCATTTTCCCAGAACCTTCCTGCTGCCAAAGGGTCAAATGAGTTGTCTTACGCGATTAGAAACTCAAGGCAGCACTTACGAAACTAAAGGCCGGGGAAGCGGATGAATAAAAGATGCCGTCAAAACAGAAGAAATCCACGGCTTCGGGCGAAACCGAAGAGGTCGATGACGAGGTGGAGGAAAGCGAGCCAGACTCAGAGGAGACGGGGAGAAGTAGTCCGAGTCACGGGGAAGCCGCAAAAACCGAGAAGAGTCGGAGGAAACACAAGAACGGCGAGGAGAGAGAGAGGGACGAGAAAGTGAGCGACAAGGCCAAGGAGAAACGGAGGAAAAAGAAACCGGACGGAGATGCTGAAGCCGGTGCCGTGATTACGAGTAAAGAGCCGAACAACAACAACAACAACGATGAGACCAGAACCAAACCCAAAAAGGAGAAATCTGAGAGGCTCCAGGAGGACGTGACCGAAAGAGTGAAGGAGGAAAAAGTTAAGCAGAAGAAGAAGAAGAAGCCGTCCACAGAGAGTCCGGAGGGAGAAGAGATGGGCTCCAAGGATAAAAAATCTAAAGAGGGCAAGAAGAAGAAGAAGTCTCACAACGACGACGACGACGAGGAGCCTTTGATTGAGGAGCAGGAAGAGGAAGAGGAGTCCAAGAAAAAGAAGAAGAAGAAGGCCAAGAAGGGATCGGCGGATAGCGACGAGGACAAGAAGAAAAAGGGGAAAAAATCCAAAAACAAACAGCTGGACTACGCCGCGATCTACCAGAACGAGCTGCTCAACTACCACACAGACTCCTCCGACGGGTACGAGGATGAGTATTACAAAAAGAAAGGTAAGGCCCAACACCGGAACGCAGACAGAGAAGGTCCCAGACGCTCACGTTAAAGTAAGTAGACATCTAAAACCGGACTTTTCCGTTTGCGGGGTCCGGCCGTTTGGGAGCTTGAGACCTGAGAATAAGACAGAGTCGATCAAGAGTAAAAAATTTACATTTATTGGGTCACAGGTAAAGTATTTCAGCGCTGGGCTCTTCACAGAGGAAACCTCTCTCTGGGTCTCAGTCGGCAAAGAGCCCTGAGATCTGGGGGTGATGGGTCTTTGTCTCCTAAACTGGGCACACCCCTCAAAAGCAGGACTGGACACAACCAACTTCTATTGGTTAGTTACCTCTAAGACTAACAAGCCGGGTCGTAATTCATATTGGTGACATTGGAATGTGGTACCAAATGATGTGTGTGTGTGTGTTGACTTAAAGGTGGATCTAATGCAACAGGAAAAGAGGATAGAAAGAAAAAGAGAGAACAAAGAGAACCTGTGGACACAGCCAGAGACTTCAACACAAAATATAGTTGTAAAAGAAAATAAAACAATCAGTAATCTACATAGATCATATGATAGCATACTAGGCTAAAGTGAGTATTTTTAGCCAAATCCTAACACGGCCGTGGGCAGGCAGGGGGGGGAATCCCTCTGAGATTGCTGTGGGTGAAAGCTGGGTTATGTTCTGGATGAATGGAGCCGAACAGAAGCCGGGCAGTAGACGGGCGCTGGGCGCCGGCCCAGTCCGAGGCTCCAGCCAGAAAGAGCCAGCCAGAGCATTGTTAGAGCACACCGCAGGCTCCCGGAGAGGCTGAACAACACCTGCTATCTTCACTGAGATTCCCCCACGCAAATAGAAGCTGTTCAGGCTGTGATGTTCGAGCTCCAAACCCCAAAAACGCAGCTTTTAGGCCTGATTCACCTCCTCAAAAATGTATTTACTTCACAAAAAGACTTGAAATGTGCTTTGAAATGCTTCAGATACATGACACTGAAGGATAAATAACATGTCTGAACACCCAATTATCTATGGGGGAGGGGGGGTCTCTGTGTCTAGAACACGGCCGCCATCTTGGAAGCCGCCATCTTGGATCAAGGGCAGATCTTTCCAAAGGGAAATTGGTCAAAGAAGAAGAGGTTTGTCTCAGAAATCGATTGTAGCCAATCGGATTTGAGGCTGTTCAGGCTGTGATGTTTCAGCTCCAAACCCCAAAAATGTAGCTTTTAGACCTGATTCACCTCCTCAAAAATGTATTTACTTCACAAAAAGACTTGGAATGTGCTTTGAAATGCTTCAGATACACAACACTGAAGGGGAAATAACACGTCTGAACACGCATCTGATGGATGTCTCTGTGGTTAAACTGCCCTTAAGATCTTAACCAGATCTCTTTTGGTTATTCTTTGGGCATCCCCACCCCTTTAGGTCTTAATGGTCATTCTACAATACAAAAAAAACTCACAAGGTCTCAAAAACCAACTAAGTATTGACTGGAACTTTAAATTGATTTTTATTATGCATTCTTCATGATATTCTCTTTGAGTTAATGTGATGATTGGGAAGCTCTTTTTTACAGGTTCAGCCGAATGAAGAGTTACAATTATTCAGGGAAAGATGAAGGATAGAGTGGTTCAGATGCCCTCCAAAAATACAAATTTAAGAGTTGTTCTGCTTAGTTGAAGACAAACAATCAGCTCCACCTTTCATGATGAACATGGTGAAAAAGGGAAAAAGGGGAGGGGCTCTTTGGGGGTCATCATCCCTTATCAAAGTTCACCAACAGGCACCTCAAAAAAAAAGAAAAAGCTTGGGCAGATGTCAGAAAATGGCGTAACTGTGAGACGGTGTGAAACGTGAGAGAGGTTTGATATTGTGTATCATGGCAGACATGGAGTGGCCGCCGTCTTACCGCATTGAATTCCCCGGCCTGGAGGGAAACATAATGCCTGATCCAATCAGGGGTGTGTGGACCAAGGAAGAGCGCAGTGAGCAAGAAGCTAAAGAGAAGACATTTGATTAGATAACCAACGAAAACAAAAAAGCCGGCCAGTGCCAGGTTTCAAAGCTAAACCAAAACTGTGAACTATAGATTAGAAAAGAACCTAAAAACACAAGGAGCAAGAAAAGAAAGGGGTTTGTGAGTGGTAAGGGGGGTGAAAATGAAGAGGAAAACCAGAGAAACCTGAGAGAAATACAGGAAGTAAGAAACATAAAACATGACATTAAGAAGAAACCTATAAACTCAACCAAGAAACCAGAAAAAACACAAGATGACGGAATAAGCAAAAGCAGACGGTGAGGATGAAAACGAGAATAAAACAGGAAATAAACTAAACACAAAAAAACCAAGAAAGACACAAAGCAAAGAAAGTCTTTAAGCAACAGCAAAAACTTCACAAAACAAAACCAACAAGCCGGCCAGTGCCAGGTTTCAAAGCTAAACCAAAACTGCAAACTATAGATTAGAAAAGAACCTAAAAACACGAGGAGCAGTGGTAAGGGGGGTGAAAATTAAGAGGAAAACCAGATAAACCGGAGAGAAACGCAGGAAATAAGAAACATAAAACATGACATTAAGAATAAACCTATAAACTAAACCAAGAGATAAAAAGCAAAAGCAGACAGTGAGGATAAAAACGAGAATAAAAAAGGAAATAAAAGAAACCAAGAAAGATACAAAGCAAAAAAGTCTTTAAGTGACAGCAAAAACTTCACAAAACAAAACCAAAAACAGACTCAACCCAACCCAAACTCACGACACAGTCCAGCCAATAAAATACGTGGAAATATTTGATTGCATTGGGCGTCATTTCTGGGCATTTCCTGTTAGTTTCTGCTCCTCTCTTCCCTCCAGTGTACGAGGTGGTCACAGTAACCGGTGATGTGAAGGGAGCCGGGACGGACGCTAACATCTTCGTCACCCTTTTCGGAGACTTCGGCGTCTCGCCCAAAGTGCACCTGGCCAGCAAGTGAGTCACGGGATCAGCTTTTTTAGCCCATTTATGGTTTTTAAAGGGGTCCAGATTGAGACCCGAGCTCTGATTAGTTTGTGTTCCATCAGAAAATGTGTCCGGTTTGGCACTCAGCCTGTATTCATGTGTCATTTTGTCCACTCTGCTCCTATTCTTCAGCACAGCGAAAAGGTATTTTCTGACCAATCAACACAAGGACATCCAGCTCTTGTTCTTGTGTAGTGTTGCACTTTGGGTGTAAAGCTGTATAGGAGAGAATCCCCACAATGCCCCGTAATGGTTTCGACCGTTCAAAATTTTGGCTTTTTTGGAGCGGGAACCTCTCCTCTGTACAGGTTTACGCATCTTCGGACTCAGAATATCTGGAGTAAGGAGGAACTAGGTGACATGGCCGGTCTTGTTTTTTCATTTCGAAAGAAATGAAAGAAGACCACGATGTCATTTACGCAAGGGATCGAATGACTCTCCGGGTATCTTATCAGCGGCAGGCTCCCCTTTTATCTCCACACACGCTGACTGACATGTGGAGGTACCGGTGAAGCGTATAGGATATTCCAGCCCATTGTTTCCTGCCCGGGACCATGTCATCCACACCTGGTGGTGGTCTCGGCATGCCTCACATTCAGCATCTCGGCTGATGAGATACCGCACGCAGACCCAGGAAGATGTGACATAGGATGGAGTTTCCCCTTACTCTGATATGCGCCAGGTCCTTCCTGTATGGCGTCGAGACCCCGCCGAGGCCTCACGCCATACAGGAAAGGAGGGGGCTTTACTGTATATGTCGCAGCACATATGCCCCGATTTGAAAATCGGGGCGGATTTAAAGTGTAAAATATTCGGATGTCCGGGCGAATTTCGTCAAAATGAGTTTGAATTCCAGTGTTTGCTGTGAGTTTGCTGTTTCTCTCAGGTGATTTAAGTCAGAGGGACAAAGGAAAACGAGGGCATTTGGCAGTTTCCGCTCAGTATGTGGCCATAGTTATGCAATCTTTGGCGCTCTCTGAAGCTTGAATGTTGCAGATAGAAGAGAGAACAGATGGAGATTGGGGTCACAGAGGGAGGCATGTGCTCTATAAATGGAAAAAAGGTCTCTTATTCACAGTCCCCGGTACTGTGGGGGGGGGGGGGGGGGGGGGGGGGGGG